GCACCGTCGGGTCTTTTCTGCCGACCTGACGCCTTTTCTTTCCGATTCAACATGTTGAATCGGCGTCGGGAACGCCACCGGAAGTCGGAGAAAGGGATAACACTGATTGGCTGTTCAGCTAGCGAATCAGTGCATGAGAAGCGTTAACGGAAGTAGAGAGGTAAACAAATGATTTAAAATGGAAGATGGAACACACACGGACGGCTATTTCACCTCATCGGTTTATAGAGCTCCTGTTCGTTCATGTTTTCAATGGACGAGTGAAAATGGAAAGAAAAACGCTATTTGTTGTTTGTTTATATCACGGAGTCTGTTCTTCTTCTCTGTTTTCCGGTTGTTCCGGTTGTTGCCTCTTTTGAATGATGAATACACACTACCGCCGCCTGCTGGTAAGGAGAGTTATTGCCACTCACGCATACGCAGTTCATACGTGCTCGGCTCGGATTTGCGGTGTGTTCCAGTGCGCGAAGTCGGCAAATACGCAGGAGAGTCCGGCGACGCAACAGTCGGTGTCGGCGTCGGCGACTTCTCAGGTGACTGGCCGGTGTATCTGGGCCTTAAAATGTGTCCAAATCCAGAAAGAAATATAAACACGTTGACAATTACTTATAACCTCCTCTGTGGTTGTTCCTGCTACATTAGGGGTCTCTAGGAGAACATTGTGCCATGATAACACACACTTAACTTAAATAAAACTGCTAACTTAGAAAAAGACACAGTTCTTCTACATCAGAATAGACTTTGTTTACCCTCTACCCTCTTTGTGGTTTCCTGCCGAAGCCCACAGCTTTCCACTTCCCAGAAATTATCTGCTGAGGACAGAAGTAACCTGAAACGTTAGATACATCTAGTTCCCAGTTGTGTGGAACAAGCTGTGAGGTATATATATACGATACCTTTAGAAAACCTGTGGAACATTTTATTCTCTGGACTAAAATGTTTGGAAATACCTACCTACAGTTCTGTCAAAGCCAAATATATGTTTAGTCACACTCAGAATACAGCCTGAACTAGCTACTGGCTTTATGTGAACAAACATTTTGGTAAAAACGAAAATTACCAACACGAGTATTCCGTGTATACTGGCCCTTTCTACCTCATATTTTAACAGCTAGGTATACAGTGTATAACTCACCCATGGGTTTCTGAAAAAGTCAACAACATAATCAATTTATGTTCTTCCTCTTCTGCACAAAGCTTCCTTCTCTCTAATGCAGCCACTGCAAAGTTGACTCAACAGTATTTTACGGAAAATATAATTTCTACTCAGTTTGTGTGTAATGTGATGGTTCCACATTTGACTGAGATAAATATTTGCTTCTTTTTCTTGATTTACTGAAAAAGAGAGTGTGATAATGTCTGCTCTGTAGAAGGTGACATGACAGATAGAAGCTGTTTCGCTGCTCCCCTGCAGCAGCCAACACATTGTTCAAGTCACTAGTGAAGCTGAACAGATGCCTGGCAAACGCTGGCTTTTCCATCCCAGCCCTGATTTCTCCACTCAGACACCCAGGAGTCTTTGGCCAGACTGATAATCACCAACGCAAAGAATAACACACACACAACCAGAATGTACACACTCAAACACACACTGAATCTGACCTTGCAGCCAACACTTTACGGAAATATAGAAATCCCTGCACACAGAGATTTACGTATATCGACATGCTGTCTTCCAGCTGCTTGGATCAAGAATGTGAATCCTGGTCCAAATCCTCAGTTTTGTGACAGGTGATATTCTAATCTTCCATAAATTAAGAATCCACTGAGATCATAATGAAGTCACCATCATAAAACAATTCTCAATTAATCAAGAGTTTGGAACTTGAACCCAAAGTGTCATGATTGTCAGCTCTTGCATTTGGACTTGCTGTTTGGCCTCAGCCACACATGCACAGATGGCAGCACGGTCACATCCGAATAAAAATCGAACTCAAAATGCTGCAGTCTCATCCCATCACACAAAACAATGCAGAGTTTCAGCAGTGACCCATTAGCAGCATTCTGCCTCCTCATCGGCAACAGGTGTTTAATTGTTAATGAGGGCAGGAACAATATTAGTATGTTAGTTACGCCACAGTGTGCCCCCACATTCCTGCAGTGGGTTAGCCGCTCAGATCCAGTCATGCAGAAGGCCTTTGGCACAGCCAAGTGCCACAATGTCTGGCCGTCTGGGCAGAGCACCGTCCTGCACCATAGCTCAGGGGAGCAGCATGCTTGCACTGCAGGTGTGTGCTGAAAGTGGTCATTGCTAAGGGGATTATTTGCATTTATTAGGAAAACAGGATCCTGTGTGTCACCAATAAACTTTCCAACAGAAATACGATTTGTTCTTTTTGACATTTAAATGACTTTAAAGTTGTACAATCTGACCTTAAATATGTTTGTGTTGATGATTTACTGCCCAGCAAGTACAGGCAGAAATTGTAAAACCTAAATCTTGTTAATAAGCATAAACATAAATCAAGTAATAATGAGAGCTGTTGCTTAGCTTGATACTACTCTCATGAAGATGATAAAACTTGCTACAGCTAAAACTCTCACAAACCCTAAATGGACCTTTGAGTTACAGCCTTCATTTCCTTCAGTTAAGCATGTGTTTTTCTAAGATTTCTACATCTACGTCATCTGCCCTGGCACTACGTCCCACCCCCAGTCACTTTGCAAATAGGATAACCGCAAATCAACCCTGCCGGTACATCAAAGACATACATGTGACTTGGCCGCACACAACGTGCCTCTGAGCAAATGGCAGCGTTACTACTTGCTTTATCCATTATAAACACAAAGCTCACTCTCCCTCTGTCTATTATCAGCTGCAGATGACAATAACATCATCTGTGATTTCCATCTAGTGCAACATTCATCACTGGAGTTCAACCTGGATACAGACATGTCCCCTGCATGCTGCTGTGTTTGGCAGTTTCTCCTAATAATCTGAAAAGTCAAGAGCAAGAATGTATCAACAAGATTGCGATCATTACAGCCCCTTCTCACATACCGAGCTTCCACTCACAATCAAACTAGCCAATTTCCTCCCACCACGTGCCTTCTAAGGGGAGCTGTACTTAAGCCATAAGCTGCCTGCTGTGTTGTAATCAAATCATCACATTCACAGAGGAAGCAGGAGTGAGAGTCGGACATTAGAGGAATTTACAGAGAATGCTCACAACATCAGGCTTCAGAGACTCTCCTGACCCTTTGTCAGCTTTTAACATTGTACTGTGAGACATTGAAAGTTCTCAAAATAAAAAGATGATATGTGTCCAAAATTCCTAAGACTTCTCTTGTAGGTCAGTGCAATAACAAGAAGACATCTTTCATTTTGCTTGTGGTACGAGGAGGCTGAATCTTTTTATCATCAATAATGCTGCATGTACATTGGTGGCCACACATTTCTTGTCCGTCCTCAGTTTTAAACTGGCCGCACAGGATGAGCATCTCAACAGGCTCATTATGGAGAAACATCAAGCTCCTTGGTTACTAGAAACTGCAGTCTCAATCTCCCCTGATTTATCTGTAACAAAGGGAATCATTATAATCAACAGATACACAAAACCAAGCTGTAAAACAGACCCCATGGTTTGGTTGTATGAGACATCAGTTACTGTTATATGCGCACAAATACACTTTGTAAATAATTTGTACACATTAAAAGCCATTCAGAAGATTTGGTATCGATGGAAACTTTGGGATCTCCAGTTGGAATTTCAATTAAGTTATCTTGGTTTGGAGATGTTTGGCTGCACTGCAGGAGTTTGTAATGACTGACCACATATAGTGTGTATTTAGAAGTATGTATATGCATTTCTAGAGGATCCACAAGGGGAAATTAAAAGATTCTCAGAAGGTAATAAAAGTTTGAATATATATTTTACACAAAGGTTTAATGTCCCTATATATACACACACTCTTGCAAAAGGAAATGCTACCCGTAAAAAGAATGAGAAGAAGAAATGTGAACAAATGCAAATTAGCTACTGCTTATGCGCAAGATACCATCTAGTAAAAATAAACGTGGTTGGTGTTTTCCACCCAAAACTGAACCGTTTCTGGATGTTTGTATAACAATTTCAATCTGATTTTCACTCATTATTCATGATCAAGATAAACATTGACAAATTCACAGTTCAGCAGTAAGAGGCCCTTCTTTCACAATAACTTGAAAGTCTTGAAACAGCCGTGCAGATAAAGCATAAAGGGGCTGAAGATTCGATGTCATCTTGTCTCTGAGGGCGATTCAGGGCCTTTGATCACTCTGCAGTTGGGCAGCTATGGAGTGAGAGCTGGGGCCAGAGGCAGAGATCACTGCAGGTCCAGCCCAATGGCAGCTACAGAAGTCTCCCTTTAATACATGAATGTGGCGTGTCTCGCTTTTTTTAGAAAAGCAAACAGACCACAACAGGAAAATAAAATATTTGCCAGGCTAAATGATGGGCGAGCTGGGGACATACGCAGCATCCTGAGTGCGGAGAACAGTTGGTGACTGTGGAGCCTCTTCTTACAGGCCCAATGGCAGCATTGTGCCAGAGGCTGTCAGGAGGAGTGTGTGTGACGCTGGAATGTGCAGGAATGTTATTTATTTTCACAAACACCACCAAGTACCCCCATACTAACACGTGAGGGCACACACACACACACACACACACACACACACACACACACACACACACACACACACACACACACACACACAGTTTAAATACTAATGTGGATACGTACACTGAGAGGTCTGATGTGCTCTGATGGGCCTGGCCAATAGGAACGCTTCAGCTCGGCCTCTCCTTACCTGTGGTAAGATCAACATCATAGCTCCCTGCCTTGATGTGCTGCCATGTACTCAGTTCATAAAGATTTCAACACACTCTTAGACACAGGGGAGGCTGAAATAAAGATATGCTCAAAAATATCTTAAGTTTCTGCTTTATTGTAAAAGATTAAAAAACTATATGTGCCACTTTTTCTTTAAACATATGTTAAAGAAATCACAATTCTTCCCACAATAGATTAATGATATTTTTACAGCTGGCTGGGGATCTGTGAGTGAGGCCGTGACTACGCTCATGTCTAGACAGGAGCGTGCACTTTTATGAGAGGATCACATCAGCTCCTAGTTGTTCTCTGCTGATTCAGAAAAAAAATGTTGTCCAGCAGACAGACACAGGGCAGATTGACTTCCCACCACTTCGGAGCGGGGGAAGCTGTGTGTCATCACCCTGGCATTTGGAGCTGGTCTGCAGTCAGCGACAGTGGAAGTAGACTGAGTCTCAGGTTCATGTGAGGAGATCGTGCCAGCTTCCCAACGGAGCTCCATCTGGGTTAAAATGTCAATCTCTTGCTCACATTAAGGTAAAAAGTTCAATGAGTTGTTGTTTGTACACACTAACATGTAGTCCCGACTGTATGATAGCCACACTTCAAGCTACCTAAGCGCAAGTGTCCTGAAGTTGACCCTGAGCTGCAGTCGGGGGAAGCAGAAATATATTTCCCTGCAGGAATAGTTCATTGTATCACTGCCTATGTTGAATGGAGTGTTTGTAAAGTATCAAGTCTCACTCTTTTCATCAGTCGGAAGTCCAAAATAATACTCAGCTAGGGGAGGTTTGGAGACACTCCAAATGTTCCTGTTAACGGTTTTTTTCCACACGAAGCGGGCTATCAAAGACATGCAGTAAAACGTGTAAACTTTTACATCCATAAAAGTTGAGGGTTTCCAATTCATTCTAAATATTGAGCTTTGGAGTACAAATATCTATAAAACTGATACATTTGTGCAACTCCAAATACAAAACTGATGGAAAATGTTCAACAGTCACAACAAATGCACTTGCTCCTCTGGGACAAATCTAGCACACTGAGTCTGAATCAGCAGTTACACTTTGTTCCCAGCTCTCCTGATTTATCCGTCTTTTGGATTGTTCCCACGCCTAGCGCTCAACATCGTCCCAGCCCAAAGATGGCACATGGGAAATGCTGATCTGGAAGTTTGTATATCGTAATGTAAAGCCAATAACAAGTAGTGCTAATGTGTTGGGATTGAGGAATAGTGGTAGTTTAGGTGCGTTTCAATAACCAAAAGAAAACTGAATCTATTACCTGACTGCACTTTTAAGTTATACACTGTCATCTAGCAGGTTGATGTCAATGTTGATTGAATGAAGCATGAAAGAGAAAGTCAGAACCGCCAAAACAGAGAAATCCTCAAACATTTGCTTACAGAGTAACACAATGTTGTGTGTTATTACAAATAACACAGCACACAGAGTAGCCATAAAAACCAAAGTGTGGATGTAAACAAAAGATTGAAGCAAGTGCACAGACATCTGTAGAATCAGCCTGCTGTGATCAGACAGCTGGGCCTTCATCTCACTGCAACTAAATCTTATATCAACATTCAACATAACAGCCCTTGACATGAGCGTGATACATGGACACCTGTAGTGGATGTTACATCACATTGTTGCATATTGGAGTAAGGGCTGAAAACATCACGTTTACATAATATTGACTTTTAAAGAACTAAGATGTAGACTGTAGAGCCTTAGCACAGTATTTAAGTTTCTCAAAAGAGTCCAACTGACATTATCAGCAGGCCACTATTGATGTATCTCACACTTTAGATCAGCATCAGAGGTGGTACATTATCTTTCTTTTATATACTTGTATTTTGTTATTTACAGAATCCAATCCCAGCTGGGTCTACAGGTTCAACTTCAAATAGGTCACTCTTAATTTTGGGAATAAACGTATTAAGCAATAGCAAAACATCCCTAACAAAAGCTGAATATTTTTTATTTAACAACTTAGTTAGAAAATATTGTTCTTGCGAATAGCAAATAAATGTTTTTTTCCTGAAATATCAATAATGTTACCTGAACATGGTTATTGTGTACTTCTGCAGTGGGATGCTAGTTAAAGATCGTTCTCAATTGTTAGAGATCAGGTTTTTTTTGACAAATGTAAAACTTTTATAGGCCCTCAAATATTAGTTTAAGTGTAGCCAAATAGTTAAGTGACAACACCTTGAATCCTCATGAGCTACACTGGTTTCTACATGTGTGCTGTGCAGCTGGCATCCTCTCTCTGCATCAGGTTGTTGGGCAGCAGTAACAGCTGACTGTAGCAGGTATAGTGGGGCAGACAGATTAAGATATCTCCTCTGGGTTGACAACAGAAGTGCTCATTCAGAGCAAGTTTTCTCAAAGTTACTCATCATCCCCTTCCCCCTACCTTCTTATAAGCCAGTTGAAGATAGTTGTAGGGGATCCTCCTGTGGAAGTCCTGCACTACATCCTCGCTGACTTTGTGCAGAGATTGACTGCCAAGTATCTCCTCGATGCATGTGTTCATACACGCCGCTCTCCGGAGCACCACGTCAGGGAAGCGCAGCTCCGAGAAGGTGGCATCAAAGGGATGCTGGTCCTGGCACCTCAGCCGGCACCGGACCTTGGTTTGGCGGACTTCCCTGTAGCTGCTGAGCGCTCCCTCCATGTAACGGACCACATTTGGGTAGTCGTTGTTGTAAAACGCCTGAACCGCATTGTCATATAAAAGGTCGTAAGGCTCCAGGAAAGCTGTTGAGGGGGACAACGCCACGGTGAGCAGGACTACTGAGAAGATAGCAGCCGGGGAAAAGTTCCCATCCATCCTCTGCTTCTGTTCAGCGGCTGTCAGTCACTTCTGCGATCAGCTCGGACTCGTTTCAGAGTCCATTTAAAAAGCTCCTCTCAGTAAGACTCAGGACGGCTCCGGACCAGGGCGGAAATAATGTTGCTTCAGTCGGGGACACACATCTTGTTATGACCCCTCTCCGGCTCCGCTAACTCCGCCCCTCCAAGACATGAATGGCCGGAGCACAATGCCAGCTTTCCGTAAAGCAGGGACGCAAAAGGGTCCTTCAGGGAGAAATGAGAAATAATAGTTTTGCTTAACATCATTTCTCCACCCTGTATTTATTAAAAAACGACTTTAAGTGTTATTGTTTCACATGGTGCAGTTAAATCAATGGTCATTGCTTCAGAGAAAACATTGAAAATATAAAGTTTGGGTTCCTTCAGGGTTGATAAAGGACCTACAGAAATGCCTGAAACTACAACTTTTTTCTGTTAAACAAACGCCAAAATAAGAATACTGAGATTGAGTGAAGCCCAATAGCCTACAACAACCAATTAAAAGTTAACTATTTTGAACTTGTTTTATTAGAGAAATTAAACTTTGTGTTGCTGTTTTGATTTGTTTTTCACGAGAATGGCTCAAGGTAAAAAAGTCAGCAACTTCTTCATATTTTCTGGATGAATTTGTAACATTAGCCCATGGACTACAGACTGCTCCTGTTAAAAAAAAAACAATAAATAAGGATAATACAAAGAAATATGAAATGAATAGGCTGAGAAGCTAGTTTTAATGTGTGTTTGATTTCACACACAATATTTATTGTGATATATACATACACAAAGGCTAGTTGCTGTCTTGTCTTCTGGAAGTCTCTTATGTTCAGGAGGTATAATGTGAGAGTCAAGACATCCAGAAACAATTCCATTAAAAGGAAAACGTCTCCCTCTGCAGGATAATTCAGTTAAGAGCAGTTTTCTGCTTATCAACCAAACTCTTACCTTTTTATCCAGGAAAACCCGAAATGCATGAAGCTTGAATAAACATTTAACTGTTAACCCAATAATATTTACTTCTGGGGCAATAGGAATGTAGCCAAGCAGGTAAAATCACTTCAGTAAATCAACATACACAATCCAAAGTTAACTCAACTTTAACTAATATTATGAACAATTAATTAAAAGACTATGTTTTCTTATCATTATTAGTTTAGTGAAATGTGATCTGGAAGCACATTATTTGTACTATTTTAAGAAAGACTATGTTTGTGTCATTGTTTGGATTATAATGTCAAGCAAAAGCTTTTTCAAATGCTATCTAATAACAAAATGTAAACATTTCTAATTTCACGACTACACAACAGTCATCATACAACATCATTTACTGCTAAACATAACTGCATTAAAATACTGTTTACTGGCATCCTGGATACTTCAACTTAGCCAACACCCATCTGTGAGATCTAAATTCCAGTTTGTGTGGTGAAATGTTTTATAAATAGACTGAAAGTGAATGTGTGGTTTACATACTTCACATCTGCTGAGGTGACAACAAGCTCCTTACTGTGAGGAATGCCAACACACACAGATATTTGAGTTTCTATTCATGTACATGGTACTAGGTGCTAGTTCTGCCGTTCTTTAAATTAGTTTGTGCTGCCGATATTAACTGGTTATTTTAATTAACTGATTTTGTTGGTTTGTTTTATCTGTGTAATCTAGACAAAAATGTGAGGTGTAGAGTAAATATATCTGGATCTGAATTAGCATGCTCGGTTGGCAAATACCATGTTTCACCAGGTACTTTAAAAGTGTAAAACTCCATCATGCAGCCTGCATTTTCTACTATTTTACTTCCACTTGCTGTCTGAGAGTTCAGGAAGAGCATGGGCAGCACTGTGCCTCCATGAGAGGTTCCTACGTGAGTTTATATCCACAGCTAATTTTGTTAAATGTATGTTAAACTAAAGAAATTGATTTTTGTTTCCATTTGACCAAGGATGGCTTACAGTACCTGTACATCAACATCTTGTGCAATTCCTTTAATTAAGGATCAAGTTATTTTGTCAAGCAGATATCATAACAGTAACTCTCAGTCTCTGTTTGTATACAAAACAATTCTTTATTTTGAATTCACCATGGCAGCAGCTGTGATACCAGATGCCTAAATACAGTATTTAGAGGGTAAAACGGCAACAGATACGAGAGGAAGGAAATGGTTTCGCTGTCAGGAAAGCTCTCATTACTGGAGCCAGGCCTCAGGACAGCACAGGATCCACTTAGTAACAACAAACATCAGCATCCTAACATCTTACATGAAGTCAACAAGTACATTCACTCAAATACTGCACCACAAGAGTCCGAATTTGAGTATTTCAGTTATTTAAGGAAGAAAAAAATATAGCACATAATTTGCCTAAATCCGACATTTAAGGAAGAAAAAATATAGCATATAATTTGCCTAAATCCGTCACTTCTCCTGATAAGGACCAGACTTCAGTGAAGTGAAGCCAACATATATTGGCTGAATCAAAAGCTTTTGTGTCAGTGTTTAAGTCAAATCGTAAACACAACCAATAAAAAGGGATAGAACAAAACAATATAAATATCAGTTTTTCCTTTTTCTTATTTGTGTTGTATAATATTATCATAATATGGTAAGTGTATGCTGTATAACAAAGAGAAATTAGCAAATGCAGTTGATATTGTTACAGTTGCATTACATCAGACACAAAAGTCAGCAGTGATTTCATGAGTTTGACAAAGATTAAGTGAATACTGTATGTTTAATAAAGAACATAAGGTTACCCTGAGTAAAGAAATCAGTTTTATTTTTTTCTCAAAATGTACATACAACAATCTTCCAAAATGACAAATAACAACACATACAGTATAAATGACAAAAACTAAATATGTATATTAAACCCTGGGATTCACCAGTGATTGGACCCTACACTCTTCCTTCATCTCCCTCCACAGCCACTCCTATGCTACAGCCTCAGTCACCCAAGGCGTTTCCCAGGGATCAGTACTCGGCCCCCTACTCTTCATCATCTACGTCCTGCTCCTCGGTCAAAACCTCATATTACCACCTCCGCAAATCTGACCCTCTCTTACCTGCCCCGTAGCTGTTAAAAATTTGAATGGCATGACATCAAAAACATGTTTTTTGAGGAATAGCTGGTATATGAAATGATACAAAAATGTAATTACACAGACACTTCAAGAAAACCACCTCACTGGTTCATTTTTAACCCACTTATGCATCTAAGGGTTAACAAAATACTCAAACAAGACAATATAAACACCAGTGTGGAACTGAAGTAGAGTGGATTGTACAGCAATGTAAAATTACAGTCATTTGCCACCAGGCATCAAAACAATTATTCTACTTTATTCAAAGTTTGATACATCGTTCTTCATTAGGAGTTGTTAAGAGTAACTTCAAAATGTCGTACTCACACACAAATATTTTCTAGATAAAAAAATTAAGGCAAGGCAAGTTTATTTATATAGCACCTTTCATCACAAGGCAATTCAAAGTGCTTTACAAAAATGAAAGACATTAAGAAAATGGCATTTAAAAACAGTCATTAAAAAGCAAAGATAATAAAATAAACATTAAAAGAAAACACATGGATAAGGCAGTGACTTTCTAAGTGACAGAAAACCTTGAATCTATAAAATGATATTGAATTTCAGTGCAAACTTCATATTCGGTATTTCTATTCCTGTAGTAGAAACCCAATGTAATGTCACTGCAGCCTGACTATCGCGGCCTCTCCTTTACTAGACGTAGTTGGACTTGGGGCCCATGGGGGGGAGGAGGTGATTGTTGGAGCTCATGGAGCTGGTCGTCTGAGACCGCGAGCATCTTCGACAGCCCAGGAAAGCTCCACCAGCCGCAGTGAGGAGGCCGCCAGCCCAGCTGACAAACACAGCATTACCAAACTCAAAGCTGCAGAAGAAAACAAATGTACACACATTTAGATGTACCAAATGTGTGTGTGTGTGTGTGTGTGTGTGTGTGTTGTGTCATACTTAGGCTACTTTCGCAAAACATTTCAGACTAAAGACCAGTTCATTGGGGAATAAGCTTCCAAGAAATTAATGTGGGTCAAAGTAATATCCTCAAAAGCTACGTTAGTAAACTTGAGATTGTGTGATTGTGTGTGTGTGTGTGTGTGTGTCTGTACCTTTGAAGCGTTTTTGTTTCGTGATAGTTGTCAACAATCTTTTTGACGTACCAGGAAGTCATAATGATTGTCAATACACCTGAACAAAGAAAACACATCATATTGTGAAACAAAGAAGGGTTCATTTATGTTTTTCGTTTTTAAGACATCACTTTTAAATATGTTTTTCTTGTGTCGAAAAAGTGAGAAAAGTAAAATTTGAAAAAGGGTTACCTGTAAACTAGTGTGTTTACTGTATGTTTATGTAATTTTTTTTTTTTTTAAAGTAAAGGATTAGATATTTTAAAGGACTATTATAGAAAAGTTATTCACAATTTTATAAAAGTTTTTCTGTTTAAATGTGGGTTGCTGTGTCTTATGTTGTTGCCTGTAACTCTTTATTATTGCTGCCTATTGTGGCCAGGAGAAAACAGAGCTTTTAAATCTCAATGAGGCTTTTTGTTGTTATAAAGGTTAAATAAAATAAGAATTTGATTAGCATATTATATTGAGATATTATCCGCACACACCTGCAATCATGAACATGATTCCTCCGATCATAGCTGTTGTGGATTTGCTCTCAGACTTGCCGTCCATGAAGCGAGTGCACTTCATCCCCACTGTGGAGACCATCAGAGCCACAGTGGAGAGGAAGACGCTGATCAGCATCACCGCCCTGGTAGCCTGGACCTCAACTACAGGAGAAAAACTGGGACTGTTGGAATATAAAAACGTTTCATATATACTGTCTTATACTTAGAAATGACCTATATCCCTTCTGTGAGAAATTGCATATCTTTCTGTTACTTCATTCATAATAAATGTGCAGTATTAGTTTGGCTTAAACTGTAGGTTTAACCAACCTACCAACTAAATGAAAACATAATAAAAAATAGGCTGAGATGAACTTAAATCTACAAAATTAAAGATTGGCATAAATGAATTCCTCAACAACAACAAAATGTCTATGAATATAAGACATGCCACAAAGTCAGTAAAGGTCAATCTAAAGAGACTTCTGTCTAATTATAGTAACGTATTATCTCAAGAAGCAGCGTCTGGTTTTCGGAGGAGATGCAGATGTGATAAATACATTTAAAAAAACTCACTTGGCAGCTTCAGGAGGTACTGATGAAATTCACAAGTTGTTCTTTCATTGCCACTGCAAGTCATCCACAAACCCTCAAATATGCGGTGCGTCTTGCCCTGGTACTGCTTCTTCCATTCGACCATCAACGTTGCGCCCACAGTGGCAGCGAGACCGACCAGAGAGAGGAAGAAACCGAGGAGCTGCAGTCCGGAGCTGGCCATCGTGCAGCGGAAAGAGTTCAGTTAACAAGTCCGAAAAGTTGTTTGGGAAATATGTACCAGAGAAAAGCAAACTACAAGCGAGCAGAAGTCGTTGAAGCCAACAAATGATCTACCTATAAGTGGCTCCTCGCAGACCGTTATTCACGCGCTCTTCTGCAGCCTCTATTTAAAGTGCAAGCCACGTGACGCATGGAACGTCCACTCCAGAGAGTAGCATGATACTATTGACTGACTCCACCTGCAGTGGATGATGGGAAGACATTTTCTTAGGAAGTCCTATCAGAAAAAATAATACATTCCGGTGTATTAAACAAACATATACGACAGTCTTTCAAATTATTATAATGTGAGTTTACACCTTCAGTGTCATGCTTTTTAGTTCATTTGACACAACAAGAGTGAGGACCACATGTCTCACATAGTCAAGGATAACACATTAAAAGGCATATGAAGCAATTCCCAACATTAAAAACAATGTATGGACTTATGGTGGTGGAAGAAGTACTCCGATTCTTAAATTAAGTATATACCACTAAAAAATACTCTTCTACAAGTAAAAGTAGAAAATTAGTGTTGGCATTCAAATATACTTAACGTTCCTAAATTAAAAGTATTAGTAAAGCAGAATTACATTTTCTCTGATATTACTTAATTTGTGAATTATATGACCGACTACAAGTGTGTGCTGGCATCTACAGAGACTTAACTCTCTGGATTATCTTACATTATGTCTATCTGTTCACAATTCTTAAATAAAATGTAGGGTATTTGTCTAATTTTCCCAGATGTTGCCCATTCTTAGATGAGCCGACAGTGGCTTAAATTCATAACACACTAGGAAAGGGAAACTCTAAAAAGCTTAATAGGTCCCCTTTGAGTAATACTTGCAATGCTGTTGTGTTATCTTGCACATTGTATTGTGACTGAAGAAAAAATACTTCCCAATGGTGTGGGAGAGTGATGGGCTGGCACATAAAGGTGTCATTGGCTTTTTCTATATGGAGGTCCTTACAGTTCGTTTGTTCTTACTAAGTGCAGGATAAGTTTATTGTAAAATGTCAGTATAAACAACAAAAACATCACAGAAAAACAAGAACCAAACTGACTCAAACATCACTGAAAGAGGAGGTCTTTCACCCAAACAAGTGATAGTTAAAACGCCTAATTGACGTTCCTTTCCTCTGCAAATTAGAGCAGCAAGCGTATGTTTACATGGTTAAACAGTCTTTATTTTACCCAGACAATTACCAAATGATTTGACCATATTTGGTGAAGTGGATACCAGTTTGTAAACACTGCATTTGTCTGTTAGATTTAATCAGTGTCCACCCTTTCCTGAAAAAAGCCTCCATCAAAACATTGTGCCGCAATTAAAGTCACAGCCCCCATTTGCATTTTCCAGAAGCCAGTCATTATGTATCCCTCCCTTACAGTCACTTGGTTTACTCATCCAATGTATTTATTTATTTTTCACACCCATTGTTTAATATCACTTTAAAAAGGTCTGATCAGGTCACACATTAATATGAAGGAATTCCTGCTCTATGTTTGCAGATTACATGGTCAAATTATTATCAAACTCTGCGATCCCTGAATAAATGGAAACAGACTTCCTTTTAGGATCTGTAAAACAGGAAAATATATTGCGTGTCTTTCCCTCTTCGACAACATGACGTGATTGTAAATCTGCGATACAGTATGTGTAATAACTGATTTACATCCTGGGAGGACCTTTTAATATATTGTACATATAATAAAGATGGTAAAGAGATTTTTGGAGTGTATTTTAAGGTCCGATGCTGATCATTCATAATGCATAACAGGAGCTGGTGTGAGTCATCAGAAAAAATGCCTTTTCTTTGTTATTTCATGATTTTATTGTCTTTTTTGACAGTTCATCAATCGTGCTTGTGTATTAGTTAGGAAACTCACCTAGGCAGTGGAAGACTACACACAAAAAAGCAAGAAATACCAAATCTTTAATACAATTCACTGCATTTGGACAAAGGGGTGATGCACCACTGAAACTGACCGAACCCCTTCCCTTCATATTGTGTATGTGTGCTTCAGTGAGTCTACTGTCAGTGGCTCTACAGAATTATGTGATTTCTTCTCGCACAATTGGATTTCACAACAAACTCCAATTTGTTATCAAATGTCTTATATTACAATATTTACAGATCTGATGCATGCCATCTCTGCAGGCACTTGTTTGTTACAAACTCTTCCTCATTCATGCGATTTTGCTCATAGTTTCAAGGGTAAGGAGATACTGATCCATTGTCAGTGTTTCACATATAATTTGCGGGATTTCCGTTTTATTGTACACTTTATCTACAATATTCAGTAATCAAAGAGGGAAGGGGTCACATAGTTGTTGTGGGTGTAGTCTCTATTCTGCTGCATTAAGTATGACACATTGTCACTGTGTGCAACAGCCCAGATTAAACTCAAATTGGTCTGCATAACTATGATCCTGATGCCTGAACAGCGGATGCACAGAATCCCGAAAGACACTTGTGGCGCATTTACACTGCAGGCCTCGCTTGGCCTTGCTCGGTTTGGTTAGGCCTTATTAGGCCCAGCTCACTTTAATGCTGGGCTCACATTACAGTTTAGGAACTGGGGTAGTTACTATAGTAACTAAGTGTAGGCGGGGCGATCGGCTTTTTTGCGGGCGGAGCGACGCTGCATACAACTGCCGTGACGTCATCTTCAAATGCGACACAACTCACAAAACACACAACAACAATGAAGGATGGCCCTGTCTCTGTCTATTTTCATTTCCTCGCTCCTCGGTTTCACCGGAAGTTGATTTGTCTGCGCCATCTTGAGTACCGTCCCATGGCTCTTATTTCTGCCGGAGGACCGAGGATTGAGGAGCGATAATGGAGGAGCGATAATCGAGGAAACACCAGTCCATCCTCCGATGAAATCCTCAGATACTCGCCCCGCCCCCTTACTGTATATTGCTCACTGATTGGACGATGCAGCACATGCACTGATCTGATGCTTCTTGACATGAGAGCCGTTTCCCAGCGGAGTGAAGAAAATACATGAAACTCACGAGAGTCACTCCTCAGTTTATACTGTGTTTTGTTTCAATTCATGTATCATTTAGTTACAAATATGTGATATCTGAACAACAAAGTGGTCAAAAATAATTTTATTCATTTATTGGAAACATTTTCATGATCACTTTTTTCGTTTTACATTTTCATTTATTGTCATTTCCATTCAGTCAGTCATTAAGTGCTATTAAAATGTTAATGTGCTACATATCCACACAAACAAACAAAGTGTGCAATCCAATGAATGTTAATCTAACTGGGTTTTGATAGATAATATATCTCTTTTTCTTTTCTCAATTATTTTATTTCTATTGTGCACTCTAATCAATATTAATCAAACTATTGTTCGTTTATACATTTTAAGAATGGCGTTTATCTTTTTTGAGAATGAGTTCTTATTAGATTTTATTTATTGGGGTCTACAACAGATGATACAAATGTTTGTGTCAGTAAAATGTGTGGCAGGGGTGTTTGTGAAAATAACGGAGGGGAAGACTGCTGTCAGACAACCGTGTTCGCTCCTCTCATATCCTACCCAATCCTTCACCTGAGCTCGCAGAAAGAAACCAGGATCTAGTGACATAACCGGTAGCATACAGATGATTTGGTCTCCTTGAGTGCACAATCATGCATTCCTGGAGGTGAGGGAGTAATCACAGGGACAACGACGGGCAACGTGAGCGAAGACAGGATTCATTTTAAGCCGACCCTGAGACGGGGCCATTGTGTCCTTGCTTCTTGGTATGTGGTTTTTTCTTCTTAGGTTCACTGTTTTCAAAAAATGCTGCAAGCGTCCATAATATATGCGCACACTAGGGCGATTAAGTCGCCGCGAGAATTGTGACGCATTCTGCCTCCTGACCAATCAGCAGTCCGTCACTAAGTTTACGGCATATTTCCGGGTCGCGGTTGTTGGTCGCACTTGTTGGCCTCGATGACACGATTTAGTCGGGCCCCAGAAAAGGTGGAAAAGTACGGGCCAAAACTAGGGCAAGTGAAACGGCAACGCCATAAACGGGCCCGCATGCTGACATTAGGCATTTAGCTTGCAGGACAGTTTCTATATCAGGCAACAGAGGCTGCTACATTATTCCAGCTCAGTCAGTAATTCTGTGATAGTTGCAAACTGATAAAGATAAAAGTTATCAATGCAAAGGTATGGGAATACATTTAATTAAAAAACAACAACCACTGTCGGTTATCCTCCACCCCTGAACAAAAACCACAAATCCTCACTGCAAACAAAAGAAGAGCTAAGTTAAAAGTTTACTAATTTATCAAATGAGCAAGCTGATACATGTTTCCTCTAACGGTGTCGTTTGTGGAAAAAAACACGAAAATGTATGTTGTTAAAAAGTCACTGGTTGCTTTCTCAGGAAAACAGTCTTCCGAGACAGTTGTAAACTCATGTGTTTTCTATTAAGTTGTGCCAGTGCCACAAAGTGACAACAGTTTTCAGGGTTAAGGATGCATTATTTTAAAAAGCAGTAAGAAGGATTGTTAAACTGAAGGTTTGAGTAAGGTTTTCGTTTTCCGTAAATGACTGGCGAAAGCTGTTGTTTCAGTTGTCTTTCTGAAGTCATCTATTTTTTATCCTCAATCACATCTTTCAGCATTGACAGGAACAAGAAAGATCAGCAAAACCAACAACAACAACCTAAAAGCCGACAATTCATGGCTGACATTTGGGAAATGAGCCGTCGAAGCTTTTCCACATTAAAAAAAAAAAAAAAAAACTTTCCGCTTTCGGTGATGTGGCCCCTGTGAATCAATCAACACCTTGACTTGGATTATTCACCGTAAATGACTAAATGGGTCGAAGGCAACTATGACACCTAAAAAAAAAAGGCAGATATAGCCCCTTTTAAAGAGTTTCAGTTGGTTAGAAATTAAGGTCAACACAAAATCTAGGGTCAGAACGTTTTAATTTTCTTAAGAAATATCACACCACCACCTGTTACATTTTCCAGTAAATTAAAGCTGTCCGTCCATAGTTCATCTGTTAAGATTACTTTATGTTGCCAGAGTTACGCGTTTGACCCCTACATTATTTTTGGCAGTTTGCTCCCAGCATACTTTCGCTGCAAGTAAATGAGTCGATGCTTGGCATCATCACAACAAAGGAAGGAAGCCCGAAATCTGGGAGAAGTTATTCAGTGTAGGATCTCTGTTCTGGGAATAGCAGTGAGGCATTGTTAATTGCACCCGAAAATTTGTTTTTCTTGCCTTGCCTTGCCTTGCCCTTCAGAGGAAAAGACGAAATCGGAAAGTATCGTTAAAAGACATTAGCTTTTTTTTAAAGTATGTACAGTCGCTTGGGATAAAAGCGTCTAAACAAAGGCATTGTAATGTCATCCCTAATTAGCCTTCCGCTATTATGTCTGTGAACGTGACAAAAAGCAAACACCATTTTCTCAAACACGCAACCAGTGAACGGATGGTTACAACTGTATGAGTAGTCAACAACGTCCTCAAAAATACATTCGAAAACATGTAACAAAAAACACGCAAAAACACAATTTCACATGTTGGAAAGTATTGGTGAAGATCAACAGGTGACCGCGCGGCGCGGCGGCATCCTACACTGGTGGAACATGACACGCACAGCACCATCTAGTGCTCCTTTAGCCCAACACACCCCAATGAGATGAGACCACCTTTACCAAGATGACTTCAGTGTTAGGGTAAAACTCATAAGTTACGTAGTAGTTAGTAGTTTTTTTGAGACGGCCGGGCAAAAGCGTAATGTCCAAACACAAAAAAGAACTTTGCAGGGCTAAGGTCTAACAGGAACTATCTATAACATACAAGTCATTTCAATTGTATTGATATTGAGACGCTTGGGGTTTTCATTTTTGTAGTTAAACGTTTGATCCCAGTCATTGTCTTTACACCTATATTCTTCAACCACACATAGCATATGGCTTTTATGACATATACAATACTCCGTACTACAATACTTTTATTGTTGATGAATGAAGTCGTTTAACAGGGATTCAAATAGGAAGCAATAAGGCAGGCTCTGACTGTAACTGTCATTGTTACGATTTGAATGTTAAATAGATCAAGTTTTTTGAGAGAGCGCTGTATTTTATAATTTTCACTGTCAGCATTGTTTAATGTGAGTTAAAAAAATGTCACAATGTTTTTTTATACGGCTGGAGACTGACCTGGCTAGAGAGCCTTTGGCCCAAAAAGAGGTTCGCAATTGTCAGACCCCAGTGGTAACTCAATAACATTAATAATGGCTGCAGTCCCAAAAAGGTGTTTCAAATGCCAGAGAGCTGCTTAAAGCATTTACAGTACAAATTGTTAATTTTTGCCTGTAAGGAAATGTGTCGTTTGGTTTGAACAAAAATACACATGACGGCAAGTAGCTGAGTATACTGTAAATTAACCATAGGCGAAGCCTGAGATGGGTTTCCGATTGTTTTTTGCGGCATTCTTGTTTGGTGGGATTTCAGTCCCAAATCAGTGCAGGCATTCATAAAAGTGTGTTACCAGAAAACTACTAAGAAAAACAAAACTCAGCCAGAAAGTAGGCATCTTCTTTCTAGCATTTATGGCAGGAGGTACTTATGTTACGCGGCAAATCAAAAAACCCAGGCTGAGACTCGCAACAGATCCAGGTCAGAGGGCCCGGCGAATCCCCACAGGGCAAAACAAACCGAATCCATAAGGCCCCCTATTAACGCTTACTGTTTTTACTACAGTTAAAAACGCAACTAACACACCTTTTCAAATAAAATGCATATTTATCCAAACTCACAATATATCAGTGGCGGCGCTTCCAGTAAACCAAAACGTAATGGCACATGCAATGGTAGCAGCAGTATCCAAAGTCTTTAGGGCCACTGGTTAGAGGCCCCATTGCATGTAAGCAGATCGCCAGAATCCAATAGCGGTAAAAAACGTTAGCAGGAGATCAAAGTTTCCTTGGTCTGAAAGGAAGAAACGCTAATTTGTAAAAACAACATTTTCATTGCGTGCTGACTTGAAAGATCAAGTTTCTGATCATAATAAAACCTAGATACGTTTGTATGTAGTGACTTTCAATGTCAGTCCCCTTGAACAGTAGCACAATGTTGGGGAGAAAAAAATAAGTTAACTTTTTGCCCATTTGAAAATATAATGAGTTTGATTTGTCTGCATTTACCAATACAAACTTTGAGTTGGAGATAAATTAGAAGTGGAATCAACATCATTGCTCTAATAGAAGAGGATGAACATAAATAACCAGTATCATCTGCATAAAAATGGAAAGCCCAGCGGCTTTGATAAATTACTTGAGCAGAGATTATTACATATATGGTGAAAATTATTGGTGCGGCGTTCCATCATACTTTCAGTGTGTAAAAGGAGTCCCTTCCTATTTTCCCCCACGATNCTTATTCACAGCCGTACTCTCACTAATCCCCCCCCTCCCTCCCTCCCCAGTAACACCACCATCCTCTCAGCACATTGCCTCGCTCTCAGCAACCAAACAATGGAGTGGTAGGTAGCCACAGAAACAAACACCGGGCCACAGTCCTGGTGGCACTGATCTTTCACATTTCCCTCTCTTCTTCCTCTCACCCCTCTTCATCCCCCTCCCTCCTTCCCACTCCTCTATCGGGTAACCTGCTTTTTCTCTCCGACTCTTCTCCACCACCTTATCGCCAAATGCCAGTGCTGTCCATCACACCACTGCCTCGCGGAGGATGTGTGTTTGTTTGTGAACGTGTGTGCACGAAGGCGTGTGTGTGTGTGTGTGTGTGTTTGTCTCATTCTCTACACTCTTCAGACAGCCATCTCCCACACTAAAACCTTTTCCTTCACAGAGCGGAGACGGGTCAGAGACGGAGACGGAGATGGAAGGAGTGGAGAGAGAGCATGAATACGGGATGGTTGAATCACGAAGCGGATGAATAAACGTTGTGAGCACCATCTGAGGCTGCGGTGGGTGTAAATATCGGAAGTGGAATAAACGATGTTTGGAAACATTTTGGGAAAAAGGGGGAACAAAAGTGGGAGTTGGAATTTTCTTGTTATCTGATCAACTCTTGATTTTAGGCTAAAGGACTTTATTACTAGACCCTGACTGATTGACGCGTGATATAAAAAAACTTTGTTTTACATAAACATTAAAGTTACAGTTAACTATTTAATCAGACATATCAGTTATGAACAATATTTAAAAGTGTTGCTGCTCGGCAAAAAAAAACTAAATAGAAATTCTATTTTCAAAAAAATATGTTCTTTTCAAGCCAAATCCTAAATCTGTTTTATTGGTGATTTTTTCTTCATAGTGTGCAAACATAAGTGCCAATACAGTCATAAATAGTCTAATATCTCTAAATAATATTGGCCTGCTGATAGTCTTTTCTATTAGTTTAAAAATAATATGCGCATGCCGCCTGAATGGTTGGTTTTTTGAGAGTCGAGTGGAGTAATGGTATGTTACTCGAGGTGATGGAGGAGTACACAGTACAGTGATAAAGGAGAAAGTCTTACCTGGAAGAAGCCAGGGGGCATGGGACCGCCGGGCATGGCGTCGTTGGGGGGCATGTTGCCCATCACAGGGCTGGGCGCTGCCGCTGCGCTCTGAAACACACAATCATGGTGATTAATTGTGGTGTGTGTAAGTGGGTGTGTCTCCAACTGCTCTTTATGTACATTCTGCAATGGCCACCGAATGACTTTAGGGGGCAGTGTCTGCACCTGCAATCACTGCACCTCCTGCCCCCCCCCACAACCCCTCTCATCCACAGTTTAAAGGTGACGGTCCCGCTTTAAAATCTCTAAATGGTTCCCTCATCTGTGTAGTGGAGAGTAGGGCTGCTCAATTAATCGTATTTTAAATCGCAATAACGATTTTGGCTTGCAACGATTATGAAAACAGCATAATCGAAATAAAACGATTATTTATTTGATTTATTTTGGTTTTTCAGTTGAATTATACTTTAAGTTCAGGGTAATCGACTGTTAAAAACATACTGTTCACATTTTTCTTTTCAATAAATGGATGTTTTCAAAGTAATCGTTTTTAATAATCGTGATATCAATTATTGACCCAAATAATCGAGATTATGATTGTTGGCATAATCGAGCAGCCCTAGTGGAGAGGGTAAAAGAGAAGCTCATCAGTAGAGAAATCCAACTCAAATATTTTCTCTGTAGTCTAGAAGAGTCAGATATCAAGGAGAAAAATGGAGTTTCACTGCACAGCTATAAAGCAATCATACTGTCTAATGCGGAGTGATGCTTTGTTGGCCAATAGAAGCTGTTAATCGACAAGGTATACGCTATTTCATACACTTATATCTCGTTTTAATCTCCTAACAAACATAGTTTAACAGTCTTTTGATTATTTAACAAACAAGTAAGTAAGACCCCTCATAGGTTTCCAAAGAAAAGTCTATATTGCTTTATTGTGTGCGATTCAGTCCAACAGAAACACTTTTGCCTGGACTTTGGCAATATGGTAATATATAACTTACATTTTGGAAGATCCAGAAACACAATTAACACGGTGTTGCCAGATTATTGAGTATAGAAAAGCACAATGCTGATCATTTTGTAGGCTGAAGGTGGTTGTATTGTATTACAAAATAATAGAAAAAGGCTTTTCTTTTAATGTATTTAGCTTTGTTAGTTTTGTATTTGTCGAGGCATGTTGTCAAGGTCATTTGTATCTTAAAATCCGACAATGCATGCAGAATAATGTAATTTGTAATATTTGCATTTCTTCCTTTTCTCATTTGCTTATTAAAAATATATTAATGCATTTTTTTATAACGAGAATGGTTATTTTTACAGATATATTTACAGACGTATCTAAAATCTTTTGAAATCCTGCATGAGACCAAACGATTACACTACTTGAACAAATAGCACCAAGTCATCAGCAAATAAGATGAGTGTAGTGTTTCTGGAATGCAAAAGATAATTAAAAGCAGGGAACGACTAACTCTAAACCCTTCGGTCTGGAAGGAGGCCCTATTAACTATTACAGATCACAGTAGGCCGACACATGTAAATACAATTCAGCCGTTTCCACCCTTACGTCACTCAAACAATATGGAGAAAAAAAAACTAGAATCGAGCAAAGAGAAGAGGGGGTGAATGGTTCAGCCAGGGAGATAAATATGATATAACTGTATTCTTGTCAACACACATAGATGGAGACGCGTGCTTACATAAGCACGCCGGAACAAACACACACGCAAGCATTTGAACGGACCAACACGAACACACAAAGAGTTGCATCACAGGCTCATAAAGTCCGGCCCTTCAGTACAGAGAGGCAGACAGGGGAGAACCACAGGGTACAGGACCCAACAGGGAGGGGTTTAAGACCCAGGGGAGGGAGTCGCTCTCATAAACACACACACTGTATACACACACACTGTACACACACACACCCCTAACGTACACACCACATCCATGTGAAATACCCTGTATGCTTGGACAAGAACGCATATTAGCAATTACACGCATGTACACAAATATACTCGCTGCCCTTCTTCTCCAACACAACACACATGAAAATGGACACACACACACACACACACACACACACACACACACACACACACACACACACCTTCACCCAATCTCACTCCCCCACCATGTTATAAATAGCACTTC